AAAGTATAAGAAGATAGGAAAGGTAGGAGGGGACTGGATTATGAAGGGCTTTGAATGCCAAACAGAGGATTTTGTATTTCCTTCTGGAGGCAATAGGAAACCACTGCAGTTTACTGAGTAGGGAGGTGACATAAATGGACCTGAGTATCGCGTTGTTCTAGGATCTTAGGGACAGCTCAAGCAGAGGACCTGAAAGCTCTTAATGCACTCTAAGTGGAGCAAAGTCTGAGTGGTTCCCTCCTGGACAATTTCCATGACCTGGGTTTGGGTCTGAGCAATACAACTATGAACTTTCCTCTGGTTGTAGCTCTAGTAGACTACAGCTCCACTCAGCCACTGTCAGTCAGCTAGAAAGTTCAGCAAATTCAGAGTGACAAAACTGCAGTCATCCCTCTGGTCTGGTCTTTTTGCTCTTGTTCTTCTGCTTTTGACTTTAAAGTGGGCTGGGGGCTAACAGCGAGACCCTTGCTTCACTCCTGGGATCAGAGACACACAGATCTATTTGCTTCTCTACTTGCTATATATACGCAGTTATACAGCCTGGGATTCATGACTACTTCCTGCCTAGGACCAACACTCTCATTCTTCTGCAGGTGTGGATCCCCTCCTCAATCTACCCTGGATCTATGACCCAGACCTAGGTAGAGTGATAGAGTTGCCAGTTGGCACCTGTTCCTACTTCTGGCACTGTCAGACCTCTGCCAGATCTGGAACCTCTATTTGCCCCTCATTCAGTCCCTGAGATGGAATGCTCCCTTGCAACTGTTCTTGGCTGGACCCCACCTCCAATGTCCATAGCCCTCTGTCTGTCTCCCTTTGCCAACCTGAGCTAGAAAAAAATGACTCACTGTAACTTTTTAAAAATTTCCCAATCAGGATTGCTTTTGGTGCATTTTCTAGGTATTTGTGGAGTAGTTTTGAAGGAGACTCAGTTGTATTTCTTCCTGATAATCTGCCACCATGGCCTACCCTGTATGTGTTTTGTATGGACCTACCTTTTTATGAGTTGTGTCCCTTTTAGAATGTGAGCTCCTTGGGGGCAGAAACTAATTTTGCCTCTTTTTATACCCATTTTTTTAGCACAGTTGTTGGCACCCAAAAAATACTTGACACTTCTTGACTGATTGAATGAGTAAAGCCTGGACCACACAGTCTAGCTTTGGATGAGAGACAAGATGGTCCTCAAAGGGGAGTGGAGTGAAGGATTTGGCATCAGACAATCTAGCTTCACATCAAGTTTCTACTGCTAACTGGTTAACAGTCTTAGGTCACTACCCCTCCCTTAGCCTCACTTTCTTCCTCTGTAAACTTTTAGGTGTTTGGACTAGATCACACTCAGGTCTCTGCCAATTCTAACTTTCTGAACTACACTGTTATCACATTGTCTTATTTGTGTGATATGTCTCCTCATCAAGATTGTAAACTCCTCAAGACCAAGGGCTATGTTTTCTTGTCCCATGTAGCTCCAGACAGTGCCAAACACAGGACCAGGTACACACTGAGAAAAATCAGACTGGGCCCCAGGGAATTCCTCCTGAGATAATACATTCCATTAAAAAAAAAAATGTTCTCTTAACAAAGTGACCAAATGGCATGTAAGGGGGTAGGTTGGACAGAAAAGTCTTGCTTGTCACAGTGAAAAGAGCAGTGGACTAAAAATCAGGGCTGAAATTTTGTCTCAAGCTTTTACTAGCTGTGAGACCTTGGGTCAGCCCATTTCTCTCTCTGAGCCTCAGTTTCCTCATCTGTTAAATGAATGGGTTAAACTAGATGATCTCCAGGGTCCCTTCCACTTTAGTAACTCACTCCAGCTATGAATGTGATGTGAATGTACATAAGATTTTAAACCTCTGTGGATCATCACTGTCCAGTTTGTATGGCTCTAATGCAAGTGACTAGACCAGACCTAGATAGATGCCTTCTGTACTTTGAGACAGTAGAAAATTTCCAAGAATAAACTTGAACCGGTTGCAATTTTCACACCATCTCTTTGAATCTGTTTCCTGTAAAATGGGGATAATAATCCCTGCACTATCTACCTCATAGAGTTGTGAGGAAAATGCTTTGTAAACTTTAAAAATTTTCCAGTTCCGTGATTTTTTTTTTTTTTTTTGGGAGGAACACATTGCAACTTCCTCTATGCCATAGAAACTTGTCTTTGTTAGTTTCTGTTGTCAAAATACCAATGTCATGTGGCTAATCTGATAATGAATCTCTTCAAACTTAGGCTGATCCTCAGATGATACTTTGTATATACTCAAGCATATGCATAAATAACTATCTATTATCTATCGATCTATCTATCTATCTATCTATCATCTTTCCAGGTCAATACTCAAAAGCCTTTCCAACACGGTAGGATCATACATAGATTATTCTGTATTAAGATGGATTTTTAAGAGCCCAGATATAATAGAGGTTTTCTCCCCCTAAACCCCTGAATTTGGCTCCTGACCAATATCAAAGTCATGAAGCCCACAATAACAGAAACTTCTGAAGAATGTACTTGCTAAAATTGGAACACTAATGCATTGTTGATGGAATTATGAAATGATCCAACCATTTTGGAGAACAATTTGGAACTATACCCAAAGGGCTATGAAAAGGACTATATTTGACCCAGCAATAGCACTTCTAGGGCTGTATGCCAAAGAGATCACACAAATGGGAAAAGGACTCACATGTACAAAAATATTCATAGCAGCTCTTTTTGTGGTGGCAAAGAATTGGAAATTGAGGAGATGGTCATCAATTGGGGAATGGCTGAACAAGTTGTGGTATATGAATGTAATGGAATACTATTGTGCTGTAAGAAATGATGAGCAGGCAGACTTCAGAAAAATCTGGAATGACTTGTATGGTTTCATGCTGAGTGAAGTGAGCAGAGCTGGGAGAATGTTGTACACGGTAACAGCCACATTGTGTGATGACTAACTTTGATAGACTTAACCCTTCTCACCAATGCAAGGATCTGAGACATCTCCAAAAGTCTCATGATGGAATATGCTATCCACATCCAAAGAAAGAACTATGGAGTTTGAATGCAGATTGAAGCATACTATTTGATCTTTTTTTTTACTTCTGTTTTGTTTTGTGTCCTCTTTCTTGTGGTTCCTGCTACTGGTTCTAATTCTTCCTTACAACATGACTAATGTGAAAATATATTTAATAGGAATGTATATATACAACCTATATCAGATTGTGTGCCATCTTGAGGAGGGAGGTGAGGAGGGAGGGGAGAAAAATTTAAAACTCAAAAGCTTATGGAAGTGATTGTTGATAACTCAAAATAAATTAATAAAAAATAAACACACACACACACACACACATACACACAAAAAGAATGTACTTCCCAATATTTTCCTCTCTATTAAAATCTCAGTGAGTTTTTTCTCTAAAACAATCATTTGAGAGAGGGGCTTTCAGTTACTTTTTTTCTCATTTCAAATAAAATAAATTGAGAATAGTGATTCTCAGGTGCCTTTCTTCCTTCTAAGACAATTATTTGAATGGGAAACAGATTACTCCCTCGCCATAAGAACTGAACAGAAATACTTATTAGCAAGTAAAAATGCATAGTTGCACTGTCCTAATGTCTATAAGTATACTAATGCCTTTCTCCCTCTTGCTCCTTCTTTCTACATATGTGTGTGTGTATGTGTGTGTGTGTGTGTGTGCATATATATAACTATTTTAGATGACAATTGTTCCTCTTCCCCAATCCACAGATAGAAGGTAATGAAAGAGCAAAAAAATCATTTTGCTTTGGGAAACATGCTCCAACCCGCATAAGAACGTAAGAATTCTCTGTGCTTACTTGGTTCTTTGATAAGTGTATCTCATCTTTCCTTTGCTTTTTTTTTTGTTGCTGTTGTTAAACGAAACTAAGCTAAATTTCACAAGAAGTTATTTGCAAAGTCCTCATTCCTAGAAACATGTCTTATTAGTAACAAATAAAAGGAGGTAGGCTAGCAGCGAGGTTCTATACAAATGATTTTTTATATGTTCCTTTGTATACATATATGCTTCATTAATTATATCTTAGGAAACTTTGTGTTAGAATAGTAAAACATCTGTCTATCTGTCTATGTTATATCTATCTGTTTATACATGCATTTCTACATGATTTTCTCAAAAAGCTGAAATGCTTTACTGTACTAACTTTGAATTCCTAAGGCTGGACTCTGCCTGTCATTAATATCAACAAAAACCGAGTCATTAAATAGGACATCTTATTGAAGAGTTCTTCCTGTTCTCCTGGGCCAGTGGGCAGATAAGGTATCTTTTTCACTAGCATAGGTATAAAGATTATGAAAATAAAGAATGTCTGAAACTAAATTTTTAACACTGGACTCAAACTCCCGTGAGTACCACAAGATATAGACTCTGGAAGGAGAGGAAACTAATAACATCACAAACCAAGGGAAGAACTAAATTCCTTCTTCTTTTTTTTTTTCAATATAAGGAAGAGACAGAAAGCCTGACCACTTGGCTATAATTTTTCATTGCATTGCATTCCACCTTAAGGGGTCAAGAGCTGGCCTGAGGATACAGACCCTACAGGTCTGGAAGAGCCCTGCATATGGAGGAGTCTAGGTACTAAATCAGTAGTTTTCCGTTCTTTCATTTTTCTGAGACCAACAGCCAGACAAATGTTTCCCTAAATCTCAGTATGTTTGATATCAGATATGTAACTTTTGGATAAGAATTGTCTTTCACCCTTCTGACATGAGTGGTGGCATACCATAAAAGCCACCAACTTTGAGAGCATTTGCTGCTCAGTGGTAGAGAAACCGACAAATCCCCCGAAGTTCCAGTTGACTATGATCACTCACATTCACGTCAAAATGAGACATCTGAATACAGGATTCTAGTCAAAGGAAAACAGGAAGACTACAGAGATACATATTATTGTGACTATTGTTTCGGACTTTTTCATTCAAGGACCTTAGATAAAAGTCTAGGATTCTATCTCCGATTCCATAGAAACTGACATACAATGATATTCAAAGCCATTATTATTTCCCATGAGGTGTAACAGACCAATGTTCTTAGACAAACAAATCAATTCATCTGAAATATACCACTCCTAAGATTTGTTACTGTATCTATGAATAACAGACAGGATGAAAGTTCACCAAATTTTATAATAAAGGCATACCCTATTGGTATTACTAGACATTTTCAAAGGAATGGGACATCATCCATAAGAAATAAATGATGAAAATCATCACACTTGGTAGGGAAAAATTCAAATGATAACAACTAAAAAAAAGGGAAATGAAAAAAATGGAATCATGATTTCTATCTCCTTACACTATTCTTCTCCTCACAGCAGAGAGAACTGGATTTTTTTGGCAGGTGTAACAAAAACAGACAGAATGTGCCATTTGAATGATAGCAGACCTACGGAAAAAGAAAGGAATCATTGTTTATTTCTGGGCACTAAAAAAACATGGAACAGTCCCCATAAAAATGAAAAGAGCTGAAAATGGAACAAGAGAAGACTTAGCACCTACTGATTCTCTCCATTTTGGAAAAAGGGAAAGATATGTATAAAGGGGAACATCATACCAAAGGATGTAAACCAACGCAATTTTAGAAATACAGACCAAGGTGTGATAATAAAAGAAAGCATCATGTGAAAGTTATTTAAATAATAATGAAAGTAAAAAGGAAACAAAATACAAAACCTGAGATGGCAGTTCTTTCAGTATACTAATCATGTAAATAAAAATAATTGGTATAGGGAAAATAAAATAGTTGATACAAAAAGAGGTATAAACAGAAAAGAAACCAATGAAAAATGAAAACAGAGAAAAACACAAAAATAGGGAAGATTGTATTAGAGGATGTAAAGTGAAATCAATGAAAAAAAAAAACACTGAATATTATTTAAGTGAAAGAAAAAAAAGACCACTATCAGGATCCAAGGTACACCTCTGAAGAAGCTGCATGTAGGTGAGGTTCTCGTGGGTGTTGGGGTCAAAGAAGCC